AAGTGTTTTTAAGATACCACCTCCAGTTCTGGCTGATGTAATGACTGGAGTCGCTGTGGCGTAGCGGCTAGACGCTCGCCGCGGATCGGAAGGTCGTGGGTTCGCTCCCTGGCGGAGCCAGACATTTTCAAAAATGACCTTGGCTCCCAGGTCGACCCAGCCTTGAGTGGGTACCGGGTGCAATCCCGGGAAGTAGAGGCGGCCGGCGTGATGCTGACCACATCACCCATCTTGTGCCGTTGGTCTATAAAAATATAGGTTCAACCCTATATGCCCTATACGCCTAAAGGCGTTGAAAAGGGTCTACTTGCTTTTTACTCGATGTAATGACGGGTGGCCCCGGCATGGTTTTCTTGTTTCGCGGGTTTCAACAAGAACAAAAACAAAGATAAAAAAAAATACTTAAGCGAACTTACTAAAGGCTTTAAAAATACTGTTTTTATTATACATCTTTTTCTTCACATAGGCTACGCCGTGCGGGATTGATAGTCGTGTCTATCCGCAACTTTCTGTTTCGTGTATTTTCAGGTCTGACATGGTTGATCTCCTATGCCATGATGTCAGACAGCCCATCTTCTCTCTCAGTCTCCCTCTGCCTCTTCCCCGTCTAGCCTTCCCACTGTCGCGATGTACGCCTGTCTTCTTTATCTCATGACATGACCAAACAATATAGACTGTCTCCTAGTGATGGATACAAGCAGTGAGGAGCTAAACAGTTTTCAACACTAGTCTGCACTTTAAGTGTGCTAAGCAGAGGATGCCCCAACAGATACAATGGCTAGGATAACTCATTCAGAATGCGCACTGCTCTTTCAGCAAGTAATCGCAATCTACTGTATTTTGCAAAGAAAAAAAAAGTCCCAATGCATTTGATGTCACTTAAACAAATATATTTATAAAAAGTCGTGTGTAGGGCTATTTGTAAGTAAAGAACGATTCTCTGTGCCTCTAGACCTATTGGGCATATATGGCTAGACCTAAATTTTATATACCAGTCGGCACTTCGTAGGTGGTGTCGTCAGCACTACACCGGCCACCTTTGCTTCCTAGCACTGCACCTAGTACCCACTTAAGGCCAGGTCGACGGGAGGCACGGTCATTAGGACCATCTGAGCCTATGGATTTAGCCCGCCGGGTTAGTACAGTGGAAACGAGCGGTGCCGTTTAGGAAGTATCATTTTTGGCCTCTGGCAGAAAAAATATCTATCACCTTGCCGAGGGTTTAAACTCCGGTCACCCATATAAAAGGCCAGTGTTCTTAGCGTAGACCAGCTGCTCCTCTATAACCATTTAATCCATTATAATCAACGCTTAATCTATGCGATATTAAATAACTTAAATTATTAGACAAACGTGAATATCCACTATCACAAAGCAAAAAACTATAAATAAATGCTACTAAACATGTGTAGGTAGAAGGCCAACCGCGAATGTGATACAAGACATTGACGATGCATTGGTAATGAAAGCTGGAGAATTGGCTAGACAGAGAGACTTTTAGGCATGCCGTGATGAGAGCGACGTTCTGTGATGGATCTACTCACTGATGTGATATATAAATATATGTATGTATATCCCATTCATAACCCAGAAGGGACGAACAGGACAGCGTTGATTAAATTACTTCTTCTGTTCTCCAACCTGCAATGGAGCAAATGTCCTTCCACCAACTCCCAAGTCGTTCTATTCTTCGCTATCGCAAGCAGCTCTCATAATATCTCCCCATAGGTTCAACTCCACTCTCTAGCTACCGTCTTCACGTGTTTTGTTTTTTTTAATCTTCCTTTATTTCTATGTCCGTGTGGGTTTCAGTGCAAAGACATTCCAATGAAATTGGTCTCCGGTTTTCTCAACGTATGTCCTATCCACCGCCAGCGTTTTTTTTTTCTTCAAACATTGGCCCACTGGAACTTGAGTTCTCCCTAAAGCTCTACATTATCATACAATTTAATTCCCTCTATTCTGTGCGGGCACCAGTTAATAAATGTTAAGAGTTTGTTAGTAATTACCTTAGTTGCTCTCCATGTTTCCGCCCCCATACAACAGTACTGATTTGACGCTGGAGTTAGAAATCTAAAGTTTAGTCCTAGTTTTAATTTTATTTTGACCTACACAAATTCTCTACTGCTATGAAAGCTTCTCTTGCCTTTTATATTCGTATTTTATTATCTCTAACGTTCCCACATCTTTATCTACATTACTGCTTTATCTACATTACTGCTTTATCTACATTACTGCTTAGAAAGATGTACGACTCCACGTCTTGAAGCGTGATACCATTAAGAGATGAAATTACTACTACATGTTCAATTATCTTTTATGCACCTTTTTGCCATGTTACATTATGACCCCACTTTCAACGGATCTACTGAATACATATCTCTTCCTTATACAAGATTGTATACCCTTGGCAGAAATCCGGTCTCTCTGCATGGATGGGAAGTCAACTGCTGGTACTCCGTGATTTCAACCGCTGGGTTGTCCTGCTCGTCGTCTGCTACATCACCACCTTCCTGACTGAGGTCACCAGTAACACGGCCATCGCGACGCACTTTGATGCCCATCCTGTTAGAGATGGTCAGTATCCCAAAAGAGCAAACTGCACAACGCAACAAGCTTTGATTAAAAAAAAATGCTATTCCAATTCAAATTCTAGTTGTCCAACAAAAGTTCCAAATGTGATCTTTTTTCAGCCGCCCAGAGGCCTGCTATATGAAGGAAGGGTTCCTTGGCTATCTTATTTGGTTTCCTATTCTTTGTAGTGTGTAGTCACACCTGATATTCCTGTTCTTTGTCTTCCTAAGTCCGGTGTGGTACTTGGGGTTTTTGGTCTGGCCTGGTCCAGTTCTCTTAGTATCAGTATCTGTGCGCTTTAGCTAATTGTTGCCGGTGCTTGGTTTACCTCGTGCTGGTCGCTGCGCTGGTGCCCTATGCCTGCCTGGTTGCCGTTCTGTAAAGCCGTGGGAAAATGCTAAACAAACACCGGGTCACAACGTCTCCAACTATGTTACATTTCAGGAAAACCAGGTCCGTCATAATCTGTTGTTGTGAACAGTCCGCAGTGTGGAGAAGTAGTGGAAGTAAGATGGTCTGCAAGTGAGAGAACTAATTTGCTTGAATGTGCCAGGAGATTTGATAGTTAGGTCGGTAGAATGAGAGCGACAAATAGCTTGAGAGAAATGAGTTCCCGACGCTAGTACTTCTTTTGGGTTGAGGTCCCGTGGTCTGAAATGAGACTGAAAGGCATTGTTAACATGCATGTGGTTTGGGGGTAGGGTGGCGAAAAAGAGACTGGAATCCCCGATTTCTGGTCCCCTTTGGTGCAATGCCCTCAGCTGTCTGCTTCAGAGCGTCGGGTGGCCTTTGGTGGGTTTCGTTGTCTTCTTCCTCCAGAATATATACTAATTTAAGATTTTTGTTACATCTTTGGCATTTACGCTGTTATTCGCCAGTGGGGCAGAGACTGTGGAAGAAGCATAGGTTTAAAGTGCTGGAATGCTTCAGATGACATAAAGTGAGGTCGGGAGAGTGAGAGGGAAGGATAGCCTGTTCTGACGGGTGTCACTGGTACTCGCAGGATCTGGTCAAGTCACATCGGGTTGTGCAGCTGCCGGTCTGGGTTGAGGGGTGTCTCAGATCGCTTTTCCTATTCTCGATATAAACTGCTTGACAAGTCGCTGGGTCTGGTCCTCAGTGCACACGCTGAGGAAGTTTTTAAAAGTCATTGGTTCGTTTCTTGCTCTGAAGTGCAATACGAGCTCTTGTCTTTCTAGTTCAAAGGTTTTACAGTTCAGCAGGAAGTGTTCCATAGAGTTGTTGGCCCTGCATTCCTGGCACACAGGCGTGCGGAATCGGTCTGCCAACACCCTGGTCGCATCTTTCTGGATGACAGGGATTTTCATCGGCGCTTACACTTGACTCTTGAGACTTGGCTTTTTAAGTAATTTGTAGGCGGCTCTGCCTTTATCGCTGGTCGACCACTGCTGGGACCATTCTCTGTATATATTGCCTCTGATTACTGCTTTTTGTTCGGTTTTGCCCAGTCAAGTGAATACTGTGGTAGGGCTGCTGGTGCATCCTTTTGCCGCTTTCTGCTGCTTCGTTGCTTTCGATATCTATGTGAGCTGGGATTTAGCCAATGAATATCTGGCATCCAAGGCTTCTGAGTCTGGTTGAGAAAGTCAGTATGTCTTCTTATCCCAGACAGGACATTTGTACATTTGGTAATGTGTGGTGTAAGTTAAGAACGCGTGCCCATATCTTCAGTTATTGGGTATATAGGGCTAGCCCTATGCTGTATATACTAATCGATGGGTGAGGCGGTTAGCATTACACCGACCACGTTTACTTCCCAGAAATGTACTACTCACGATCCCGCCCGCATTAGCCTCCTTCTCGCCGAGAAGCGAGATTTTCCAGGCTTCCATTCATAAGCTGTGACCTTTCCCACCGGCCTCTGTATGTTCTAGGCGTGCGAAAAATCGTTCCTGGCCTTACACAGCGACGTTGGGCATGTCTCTTTCCTAGCTCGCGACATTGAGTCACGGGGAGGTTATTTCGTCAGGCTTGTTCTTTGATGGTTTCTGTGTGGGGACGAGAGTTCCACTAACTTTTAGTGTCTGTGTGAACTGCGTGTCTTCTGCGAGCGTCTGTGGTTTGAAAAGTTGTGTCATTTTAGGGCGGGTTGTTTAAAACAAAGAATCGGACCGTTTGGGGGTGGAGGTCGGGTTAGTGTTAGCTTATATGTGCATTCATTATTATGGTTAAAATATGTATTCATTGTAGTTTTGTCATCGATAGGACTCAAACGCAAAGATGGTCGCCCACTATGCGGATGAGGATCATCTGTGGAGAGGTTCCGGAAACCCCGTTTAGCCGTTAGGCCATTCTTCAGGCCCGGCTATATTTAGGGCTCCCGGCAAAAGCCAGACAGGGGCTTTGAAATAACTAAAAATTGCTGAAACTTGTATGAGATTGTCTGTCAGTTGCATATCTCATCATGACATTGTCAGTCAAGTGTATAAACATACGTCATTTCGAGATCGTATCATGACAGTTGCAGACAGTGTCGATCTTATAATTACAGTTCCACGCATTGTAGATCTGTCATGACAGTTAGAGGTAGTGAAGATCTATCATGACAGTTCTTAACAGACAGTGTAGATTTTATCGTGACTGTTTCAAACAGTGTAGGTCTATCATGACAGTTCCAGAAGCGTAGATCTTATCTCGACCGCTGCAGACATTGCCGATTTTATAATGACAGTTTAAGACAGTGTAGATTTTATTATGACAGTCGCATATATTGTAGATCTAATTATGACCGTTCCAGAGAGTTTAGATTTGTCTTGACAATTCCAGACAGTGTAGATCTTACCATGACAGGTCCAGACAGTGTACATCTTATTGTGACAGGTGCAGTGTAGATTTTATCATTATAGTTTCAGACAGTTTAGATCTTTGATGACAGTTCAAGACAGTGCAGATCTTGCCATGACAATTGCAGACATTGCCGATTTTATCATGACAGTTCTGAACAGTGTAGATTTTATCATGATAGTTTCAAACTGTGTTGAGCTGTGATGATATCTCAAGACAGTGCAGATCTTATCATGACAGTTGCAGACTTTATCATGACAGTTGCGAATCTTATCAAGACAGTTGCAGATCGTATCATGCATTTTTTGGACTTTTAGATCTGTAATGACAGTTCCAGACAGCGTAGATATTTTCATGAAAGTTCTAGAGAGAGTAAATCTTCTGATGACTGCTCCAGACAGTGTAGATCTTAGCATGACAGCTCCAGACAGCGTAGATATTTTCATGACAGCTCCAGACAGCGTAGATATTTTCATAAAAGTTCTAGCGAGAGTAGATCTTAGCATGACAGCTCCAGACAGTGTAGATCTTATCATGACCGCTCCTGACAGTGCAGACATTATCATGACAGTTCAAGACATTGTCATGACAGTAGCAGATCTTGTCATGACAGTTCCGTGACATTTTTGTCTGGCAGTAACAAAGTTTAAAAGTTTGTTGAATAATTCATTGAAGCTCTTGTTCTCTTTACAGGCCATAAGTCTCCAAATGAACCCGTTGTTTCTGATGTATCCCGCCGCCATTGCCTCATCTTACGCGTTCATGTTGCCCGTAGCAACGCCTCCAAACGCCATTGTCTTTTCCCATGGCACTGTCAGAGTCATAGATATGGTACGTGTATGGTACAGACAATATAGTGCCTTATCTTTTCTATATCCAGGCGGGAAAAGGCAACGATGTGAATAAGTTCATCGGCGACTAGATCGCACATTGGCTGGCTGGTAGACGACTTCGTCGTCGGTCGAGACAGTATTTAGATCTGTCTTCTTTGATAGTATCAACACTGCAGGAATCCTTTTCAGGGCTCTTGGTAGCGAGCAATGTTAAGCCATTATATACTGCGCACATAACTTTGTCACAATTATAACCTAAAGTTCCCCTTCAGGGGTGCTCGTTAAACGTGACGATATTTCTCCAGCGGAGCCTGGGAATAAGATGTCTAAGAAATGCTGAAGGAATTAGCTGGCCATAGGCAACCGTCGGTACATAAGAACTGTGCAGCTCTACCGTTACTTTAGGGAGGCAGTGTCTTGTTCTTGTTTTTCTTTTACTGCTTCGGGTGTCGCGGGAGATAAAATGTCCTGCTTCGTGCTTTTCTGGCTGCTTCAAACTTAAACACATCGTGGCGCTGTAAAGTTTCTATGGTGTTATCTTTCTATATGGTTCTTGGTCTACCTCTTGATCTATGTCCCTCTTCTACTTTTATTATATGTTTTGTATGGCATAGCATCAGAAGCCGTTCTCTGCAAGTGGGCAAACCATTTGGTTTGTTGTCTTTTTATGTAACTTAGAATTGGTTCTGTGCCGACTTGATCTCGTATGACCTCATTACAGATTTTTTCTCTTCTGGTCACTACTACAGTCTTTTTCAGACACCTCATTAAAGAAGTGCCTGCCATGACTTAAATACCACTGTGGGAGTGACAATCTCTGCCACACAAACGGCATCAAAACGGGAAGCAATGGCGAGAGGACACATGTCGGACACTTGCCCTATGCTCTCCATGATGCAAACCTGTCTGATATGTCTTCCGCCTGAGCCATCTATGACTTCCCTCTTATCAGTCGCTGACCCTTAACTGCGCCCAGAGCTTCATGCAAAGGGTGATCTGTGTCTGCAGCTACTTTGAGATATGACTTCGATTGCAGCACCTTGTGCCTACCTGCAACCGTCGGCAAACCTAGGATGTATCGCATACACACCACTAGCTGTCTCTGGTGCAACTCAGATCCATGATCCGCAAAGGTGCGTTTTGTATGCGCTCTAGTTCGTCCATCTGACTCTTTGAGACGGTAAGCAGTCCCAGGCCATAATCAATCACTGACAGGATCAGGTGCTGACATAGTGTGGAAAGATGTGAAGTGTTTTTCCACAATGTTTTTCATGGGTTAATAATGTGGTAGTTTATCCTTGCTTTCCGCATCCACGTGGCTGCAGATACGTCCTCAGCCTTCCGCAACTTAATTTTTTTTTTTTTTTTTTTTTTAAATATTGTTTTTGCCTAATTTATTTTAAAATTATTTATTATATTTTTATTATTATGGACTGCGTGGTCTCGATACATGGTTCCTGGTTCAAATCCCGTTAAGGGCTTGGATTTTTTCATCTAGTAATTCCCCCTGGTCTCAGAGTAGATCGGACGCCCGTGTGCATAGTTGTGCACGTAAAAAATCTCTTAGCAGTTGGAAACCAAAACGAGTAGACTAACGGCGCTGCCTGGGCACAATTTAGAGTTAAAAATCTACCCAAAGTATGTCGGGATCCTCGCCTGTGCTACAGAGCCTGTGCACTGTGTTGAGCTTCTTCGAACTCAAACTTGAGTTAAAAGTATAACAGAGCACTTATGGGTTACTACCCGTGCGCCATGATGTTAATCCGTTGTTCAAAACCTCAGAAAAAAAAATAGCAAAGCTTTTACGGTCGGTATTTCGTAGACTTTCATTATGTTAAGAAGATCTACAGAACCGGACTGAGTCGAAATCGTATACCATATCCTACTAGAATCTTCCAGAAATTGCTTTCTGTTCACTCAGTCGAATATCGTTTCTTGGTCTATAAATTGGACTTTCGTTAGTTTCACTCTTCGTCCCCACCACAGAAGTGAAGGTCCCCTTACACGCCAGTGGCGCTTCGGGTTTATGAGGCTAGTCTCATATTTTCATAAGCCTTTGATGGACGAATCGTATTTTTATAAACCAATGATAGGCGACTCATAGTTTCATAGACCAATGATGGGCGAATGATATTTTAATAAACCAATGATGGGTGACTCATATTTTCATAAACCAATGAGGGCGACTCATATTTTCATAAACCAATGATGGGCGACTGATATTTTCATAAACCAATGATGGGCGACTCATATATCCCAAGAACAATGATAGGCGACCTCATATTTTCATAGACCAATGATGAACGACGTATATTTTTATAGACCAATGATGAACGACTCATATTTTCATAGACTAAGGATGAACGACTTATATTTTTATAGACAAATGATGGGCGACTCATATTTCCATAGACCAATGATGGGTGACTCATATTTTCATAGACCAATGATGGGCGACTCATATTTTCATAGACCAATGATGGGCGACTCATATTTTCATAGACCAATGATGGGCGACTCATATTTTCATAGACCAATGACTTCTCGTCGTATACTCAACAACAAAAATGGGGAGGGGGCGCCACCGGGCCAAGACTGAAAGCCATTGGTTTATACCCACAGGGTCAAGGACCCTTTTCCACGCCTGTAGGTTTTTGGAAATTTTAGGCTAGACTTATGATTCATAGACCACACGGCACTTGCTGGGTGATATGGTCAGCATTACCCCGGCCGCCTTTACTACCCATGACTTTTACCTGGTACCCACTCAAGGTTGGGTCGACCAGGGAGCCAAGGATATACACAGGGGATTCCTCCTAAATACATACAGCCGCGCGTCCTATGTACATCAGGTTCCCCTTGCATTGACCAATCATCAGTGTGGTCTTATTCCTCTACTTAATTTTGTATGTAGGTCAGGGCTTGCCTGTTCAATCTGTCATAGCATTTCATTACGTCTAATTTCCTATCGGGATTTACATTACTACCATCAGTTCTTTATTTGTATTTTACCTTGAACAAATGGAGTTTAGGGGTTTCTTTGAACGTGTAATATTCTAGGGGTGTTACGGGTTGGGGGTTAGGCTATAGTTAGGATTAGTCGGTGTTTATGAGGCGGCTGAGACTGACAAAGATCCTAACACTAGCTCTAACCCTCATTACATCATCATCATCATGTAGCAAGTCCTTTGCAGAACGTCGCTCTCATCACAGTCTGCCTGAAAGAAACTCGGTCTCTCGCCACTTCTCCCGCCTCATGCACTTTCCCATTCAAGGAGTCACTTATATCCTGTGCCCATCTTCGTGTCGGTCGGCCCCTGCCCCTCCTTCCTGGTACCATGCCTTCTGCTATAATTTTTTCTAATCCGTCGTTGCGCTTGATATGACCAAAATATTTCAACTGGGAGGGGTCGTCATAACTCATAACTCATAACACAACTAGAATATTGGACTTTTCCAGAAATTCTGTGATTTCCATTGTTTGGGGTTAATTAAAAATCAAATACCTAACCATCTACCGATGTCTCTCTCACAGATGATGAGTGGACTCTTTCTAAACTTGATCAGCGTTCCTATTCTGGTCCTGGCCACCGCCACCTGGGGAAACGCCTACTTCCACTTCGACCAGATGCCTCCGGAGTTTGCTAGGAATGTCACCAGAATTAAATAACAGCGCTAGTGGCAATTTACTGTGAGCAATATTCTGGAGAAGAGCAATATTTTAAAACAACAACCGAGGGATTGTGGAAAGCAGCAATGCATGCATGGTTGGAGAATATACAGACAATAGCAGACAGCAGAGAGACAAAAACTGCGACAAAATAGCTGAACAGGAGTAGACCAAAAGGTAGATCAAGAAGACGTTGCGGAGATCATGTACAAGCAGATAGCTACAAATATTTGAAGTCACCAAATGGAAGGAGAGAGCTAATCACAGAGATGAACAGAGGCCGGTGGTAAATGCGACAATGAAGCTCAAGGGCTGTAAATGCTGAAAGATAAAAAAAAAAGATATTTGAAAAGGACCAGATGTCACGAACAGTGTTGTATTCCGATGCATTCCGAACTGTGTCGCGACATACCTTCACACTGCATACCGAACTATGTGGCGACACACTAGTCTGTCGACTGCAGTGTTAAGATGTGTCGCGACACACAAGTGTGTCGGCTGCAGTGTGAAGGTGTGTCGCGACACACTAGTGTGTCGGCTGCAGTGTGAAGGTGTGTTGCGACACACCAGTGTGTCGGCTGAAGTGTGAAGGTGTCTTGCGATACATTAGTCTGTCGGCTGCAGTGTGAAGGTGTGTCGCGACACATTACTGTGTTTACTGCAGTGTGAAGGTGTGTCGCGACACACTAGTGTGTCAGCTGAAGTGTAAAGGTGTCTTGCGACAAATTAGTGTGTTTACTGCAGTGTGAAGGTGTATTGCGACACATTAGTGTGTTTACTGCAGTTTGAATGTGTATTGCGACACATTAGTGTGTTTACTACAGTGTGAAGGTGTGTCGCCACACATTACTGTGTTTACTGCAGTGTGAATGTGTATTGCGACACGTTAGTGTGTTTACTGCAGTGTGAAGGTGTGTCGCCACACATTACTGTGTTTACTGCAGTGTAAAGGTGTCTTGCGACACATTAGTGTGTTTACTGCAGTGTGGAGGTGTGTCGCCACACATTACTGTGTTTACTGCAGTTTGAATGTGTATTGCGACACATTAGTGTGTTTACTGCAGTTTGAATGTGTATTGCGACACATTAGTGTGTTTACTACAGTGTGAAGGTGTGTCGCCACACATTACTGTATCGGCTGCAGTGTGAAGTTGTGTCGTACAGATTTGTTTTTTTTATTCATTGTTTTAAAAAATAAACTTGTAAAAACGTTTTTTTTTTTATTCATTATTTTTTAAATAACATTATTCTTTGAGATATTTGTGTTGCATGTATATTCTGTTAGTTAATTTCATGTCACTTCCTAGACGTTGCTGAACTAACCCCAA